GTTCACCCCTATGTCCCCACCTGTGTTGCATCCTCTCTGTGTTCACCCTGGTGTCCCCCTGTGTCCCCATCTGTCCCCCCATGCTTACCCCTTGTGTCCCTGCAGTCCCTGAAGCGGATCAAGCGCTCAGACCGCCGCGGGGCTGAGTCGGTGACAGAGGAGAAGTTCACCATCCTCTTTGAGTCACAGTTCAGTGTTGGTGGCAACGAGCTGGTCTTCCAGGTGAAGGTAAAGCCACCAGCCTCGTCACCTCTGCAGGGCCCGGGCAAGCCGTGGGCACCGTACCTATGGGTGTGGGGTTGGGCTGGGGCCACGAGGTGCCCGTGCAGGCTGGGGTGGCCCAGGGCTGCTCATGGGCAATGATCCCGCAGTGCCCCACAGCCCATCCTGGTCTCCTTCCTCCTGGCAGACGCTGTCCCTGCCTGTGGTGGTGATTGTACAAGGGAGCCAGGACAACAACGCCACGGCCACCGTGCTCTGGGACAACGCCTTTGCCGAGCCTGTGAGTGCCAGCGCCATGGCGGGGCAGGACAGGCCCCATCCGCCCCAGGGGGCTGCGAGAGTAGGGCTCAGTCTCCTGGTGGGGATGTGGCAGGAGGTGGCAGGCAGAGCTTGGTACTGACCCTGCTCTGTGCCCCCTCAGGGCCGCGTGCCCTTCGCCGTGCCCGACAAGGTGCAGTGGCCGCAGCTCTGTGAGGCGCTCAACATGATTTTCAAGGCAGAGGTGCAGAGCAGCCGTGGGCTGACCAAGGAGAACTTGGTGTTCCTGGCGCAGAAGCTCTTCAACAGCACCAGCTCCCACCTGGAGGACTACAGCAGCACCACGGTGTCCTGGTCCCAGTTCAATCGGGTGAGCGGGCTGGGCTCTGTGCCGGGAGAGCCGTGGAGCCCCGGGGTCCCACCGTGCTCTGGGACAGGCTTTGCTATGCCTGCAGTACCAGTGCTCGTGCCAGGGGGGCTAGATGGGGCGTGTCCCTCCCAAGGAGCCGTTTCTTGCTGGAGTGGTGCAAAAATGAGACAGTTGTTGGCTGCAGTGGGGCGGGAGGTGTCGCCTTCCTCACTTGGAGGGATACGGGGTGCTGTAGCGCCCGCAGATGGGGTCTACATCCTCGGGGAGGCATTGCTGGCGCTCCCCTGGGGCTGTGCTGCCTGGCTGGACTGACTTGCGCCTGGTTTGGCAGCGCTGGAGGTTGTCCTGTGGTCCAGGTCCCTAAGTCTCCGCTGCTGCACCAAACGTTTGTGCTGTTTAACAGCAGCTATGAGGCTGGAGCCAGGAGTGCTCATTTTCTGGGGATTTCAACAGGAAAACCTGCCCGGGAGGAATTACACCTTCTGGCAGTGGTTTGACGGGGTCATGGAGGTGCTGAAGAAGCATCTGAAGCCGCACTGGAACGACGGGTAAGAGCCGCCCTACCCCGTGCTGCCCTGCCCCCTGCCCGCCCAGCCCTGACACCCCCACTCTGCCTAGGGCCATCCTGGGCTTCGTCAACAAGCAGCAGGCACACGACCTGCTCATCAACAAGCCTGAC